TGTGTGTGTGTGTGTGCTTCTCTGCATACACAACATGCTCACCTTGACCAGTACAAGCCCCAGTCAAGCTCCATCAAGGGTCTAGTGTCGCTTCAATGTCTCAACATCTCCTGAAAGCAGAAAGAGAAGATAAAATGGCGATGAACTGTGGGGGTATGTTAATGTCTGGCTGTCTCAACATGGCTTCATAATGGCACTGCTCTGCTGCTTCCTACAAAAATATCATGAGCTCTTTACATGTTTTGCTTTCACATAAATTCATGGGAAAATCTGATTTCTAAAATTGCACAGGAAGCCACAGCAGATAGCATCCTGTTTGCGTCCTCCCCTCAGCCCGTTCCACTGCGTCATCACTTCCCTTTCCTGGAAATGTGGCCACTCATCCACCCTATTTACATATTCTGTTTATCAGTCTGGTTCCCTGCCGTCCTGGTTCCTACTCACACCTTGTATCATTTCTTCTGCCCGTCAGAGGCTTTGCAAAGCTGAAAATGCCCTAATTCTGACAAAAGCTCAGGACATTTCTTAATCAAATGGTTATTCACACTGAATTTAAACTCTGATTGGTCAAAGACCTTTCATCACTGTGAACACAACTAACCAGATAGTGTTTTAAGAAGCTACTGAGCATGTCACCTTTCTCTCCTTCCAATATTCAGTGTTTATACTGTACATACACTATATGTGCTAGTAACCGTTCTGTCAAAGCTTTCATAACCTTCAGTACTTTGCAGTGTTATTCATAATCACAGTAGAGAAGGCCCTCTGGGGTTGTGTGTTTTCTCATCAGAGCAATTGGATAAGCTTTCATTAAAGCAACAGAAATGAATCTTTCTTGCTGGTCACCAACATCTGTGTACAGTCCTTCCATTTGAAAATAGCAGCAACAATATTACACTCAGATGTAATTACTTTCTGTTTGCTTAGGATTTTTCTAGCCACATTTTCATAGCAAAAAGGGACCCGTCATGGGGTCCTAACACAACAACTGTGAGGACCTGGTCTTCAGTGTTTTGCTCCTAACCCTACTGCCACAGATAAGCCTGTCAGACGCTCTATGCTTCATGAAATCTAACAATAATTTATATAATATGTGACTTTAACAAGAATTAAAAGTCAAATTGACTCTTGCACAACTGGTGTTCTGTAAGGACATGCTAAATTAAAATAACAGCTAAAAGAAAATATAAAAAAACATTGATTTGATAAATGTCTTAACTGTCTCCCGTCAGGTTTAGTCTGATTAATTATTGACCTAACTCAAAAGGCAATAGTTACCTGCATGCAACGCATTGTATGTGTGTGTGTGTGATCCTCCACCACAGCCCACTGATCACATCAGTCCTAAACGCTGCGCTGCCACTGAGCTAATGCTGCAGCTGAATAATTTAACACAGAGAAAGAGAGAAAAGCGTTCCCTTTCTGTCAACTGTCCAAACACAGTTTAATCATTCCGAGTCCACACCAAAACAAATCAACCATTCACAGAAACTAAAAGAGAATTTCTGCCATTTTAGTTTTTAATGCATCCTGACCTCTCACACATTACCATTACTTTTGTTAAACTTTGTTCATCCCTGTGTTTTCTGTCCTTGTTTACTGACACGGGTACAAACACACAGCACACATGCGTTAGAAACTTCTGGAAGTGAAACGGAATTCAAAGCAGGAGATATAAGCACTCCTATGAATATGGACTGCAAAGGGAGGAGGAGTCGAGGCAGATTGAGTAGAATAAAGAGGGAGAGGAGGAGGAGGAGGAGGAGGGGAACAGAGAGGGGGAGGGGAGAAGAGAGGACACACAGCTCACTGAAATAAATAGTGTTGGGTATCAGAACAATTTAGAAACCGAAACACTTCTTGTGAAAAGCAGACATAAGAGGCGCCTCCTGCTCAGAAGAATTTACAGCAGAGACGTATATGGTAGGCCAAGTTGGTGTCCTGTAAATTAAACTGCTAATGTAATGAATAAATATAAATACGCTTTTTATTGTGTTTATATTTAACTAACTGATAAGTGACACTGAACTATTGCTGATGTTTTGAGGTTGGCAGTATGCACTCAAAACCTCACTCTTAATGAACTTAAGATACTGAAATCAGTTTCTAATACAGCATGACATAATTGCCTACTAATGCACTTTAAATATGGTAATGTAAAAGTCCACAGTACAGTATTTCTCAACATGAAACCCACCAATGATGACAGTGGGCACGGATTGAGCTTTGACAGTGAATTTGCTTGTTCGTCTGGTCAGCAGTGACAGTAGGCAGTGAAGGGACAGACACAACTCCTTGTACAACAAACCGCAGTGACTGTGAGGGGTTTTGCTTCCTCATATCTTCATCAAAACTACCCAGTCAACATTGCAATCACTCCCATACCAATCATGTGTTACAGGACAAGTATTTAAATGTTACCAGAGACTTAATTAAACAAAGGGTTGCGTGTCTCAAAGCTCTCGTATCACACATGACTTCACTCTGTAAGTGAAGGGAGTGTATCTTCAAAGACTTTGACATCTGATTCTTGTGTTCATCTGACACACACAGGTCTCATCCAAAGTCATTTCAGCAATCCTGCAGCCTCACTCAATGACTGGGGATTTGGGGAGATACAAACATGCAAGGCAACTAACGTTAGCTAGCAGATTTTGACTTGTTGCACTAAAAAGGCACGTGCAGCAGATTTTTGAAGGCTCTTGCTTAGTGGATAGCTATGACTTCTTTTTAAATCAGATTCTAACTTTCTACATATCAAAGAACAGTGAATTAAACATGTCTAAAGGGACTATATGAGGTATGAATGACTTGTGTTGTTTTCCCAGTATGCCTACAGATATAAGCAAGAGAGCCAAACACCCTTGTGGATCTCTAAACAATCTATTCTCTTTCAGATATGACAGAAAAAGATAAACTGTATTCTGTACAAACTTTACATCTGTCGCCTCAACTCGCTCATTAAACACCAACTCGTAACAGTGTTAACTGACCGTCTACTTTGTGTGTGGGGGTTTTTTCCGGCTGTGACCAAAAGTCAGTAGCTGGTGCTGGAGAGCGATGTGAGCCTGTGTCTGCTCTCACTGGCTGTAGCTTGTTGGATGGCTCCAGATATATAGCATATTAGATATTTTTCGGGCGTCTCTGAGGAATCGATAAGCCCTCTGACCGCGTCCTGAAACGGTTCACACATATCGATCGTCCTGATAGGAGCAAGCTGATGTGGGGGCTTTTGTGGCAATCTCCACAATACGTGATTTCAGCCCCGATTTCCCACTCGCTGACCGTTAATGAGTTTCTCACCATTCATAAACTTAGCGAATAACTTTTTAAATACATTTGTCTGCACCCTGTAGTATAAATGCATTTCAGTTAGTATTGTACAAATAAAATCCATTTCAACGCACGTATACACACACACACACACACACACACACACATTTGGTAACAGGCCAGAATGGCAGCAGTGTCAGTCAGTCAGTTAGGACGAGAATAGTGAAGAGGACATTCCTGCTCGGCCTGAAATGAAGCCTGCAATCTGAGCTCCCTGAGACAATGAGTGGCAGGCCCAACAATAAACACTAGCCTACCCAAAACAAAGATCAGACAAAATGGGGCACGCATACACACAATTAAAAGACCCCCAGAAACACACCCAAAGCACATGTTCTCAAACTGTCTTTATTGCAGCTGTGTGGTGGTTTGAGGGTGTGGGGAAAAACACTGTAAAATACTGAAAAGATATTCTGAACTTTCTTTTCAAAATCAAGGCCGGACATGAACTACTAAAAGCATTTGGAATCATGACTTCAGTATACTCAAACACACACAGACACACACAGACACTACAAGGTAATAAAACAACAAAAGGTGTCTACTTGAGTTTGGAACATCAAGAGCAAAAAGGAAACAAAAGGACACAATGACTTCCTGTTTTTCTTCAAAGAACTTCTCCACCTCCTGCTGAGCATACAACCAGCTATATACTGGATTAAGTGCAATTGGAGCTCAATGTCTCCATTCAAGAACAATTTCTGAGTAATTATAAAGCCACGTTTTGCTGAATCCAAATGTCGACCCTATGTACAAAGAAAGAATGAAAAAGCATTTGGCTGAGGAATGTGTTTTGTCAAACACTGTCCATGAGTAGATAACAAGGAGCAGTTTCTGGAGTTTGTTAACAACATTCAACCAAATTAACCCAGTGCAACTACATTAATCTAAATACATCAGCACCTTTTCACAATGGATTCATGAGTCTGGTGTAATATGGAAGGGGAATAATGTAATGCTGTGCCCCCATTTGGCCTTGAAGGTAGGTTAGTGTTGTAGATAGCAAGCGGTCAGACCCAGCTCCAAGGGCACGACAAAGTGAGGGAAATAAACACGGTTGTCAAGAGTTGTTCACACATGCTACATTAATATCTGAATTTAGAGCAGGCAAACACACTGTTAAAGCCCATTTTCCATTGTGTTTTCAGAGAGGCTAAAAAGCAATGATTGGACAATCAGGCGAGGGGTTAAGCAAAGGGTCATTAGCAATTTGTTCTTTCTTCAGGTCTTCACTTCAGTGAGCCAGCTCATGGTGAGATATGTGACAGATGTGCATGTACCCAAAGTACTGAGCCCTTCTGGGCCTCAGCAAGGCAAAGAGAACAAGGAATCAACTCAATCCAAATCAAAGGGCCATTACAGCCAATAATGTAGTTTGTTGTAACAAACTTCCATCTGTTTGGCATATGATAGTGCCAATATACATTACTATCCCAGGTCTATATGGGTTAATGTTATATTTAGTTGACATTTACCATCAACCTTAAACAAAGGCAAGTATTATTTCAGTTACTTTTATTGTCTTTTTCATTACACAGCTTTACTAAGTTGAGAGTTAAGGACATTTTCTTTGACTATTAAGTGGCTTACCCGTCACCAGAAATCATTGTGTGGAGGGGCCGCGTCCCAATTCCCGGCCTGTTAAAGGGCACTACTATGTCTGAGAAGGAAGCTGCTGATGTTATCAATATGTATTTCATTTGTGAGCTTTGTGGGTGGCAAAGAATAGTGCATTTGGTGATGCATTCCAGTACAGTGGGAAATTTGAGTTCCTGTA